CAAACCCTGTGAAACCTCAGTTTCTTAACTGGCAAAATGAAAATCATAATACCTGCCTTATAAGAAATCAATACAGATCAGTGAGATTATGTACATGGACAAAGTTTACAAATTATAAAGTTATAATTTTGGTCTTATAGATTCTAGCATTGACAGCAGTTAAATTTGAGCTGGGAAGAAGTCGATTTTTTGCAACCATGCATATATGATTAGTCAAATTCATGTAAGTGTAACTAATTTCATCTACTGCTGTGATCCACTTAATTTTTTTCTCCATAAATGTATACAATTTTAAAACCTATTTAGTTCAGTGGATAGAATGAATCTGTATTGCAATACTTACTACACAACTTGATTTTATATTTTAAAAGCCTGTCTTCCGTAAGAAGGATGAATTCACAGTGCCTATTCGTAGATTTAATACCTATTTATGTGCAATCATCATGCAGGATAGTCTCATATGTGATGAAGTTCTACTTCTTTTTCCAGCATATTCTTTTCTTGGCTTTATTTACACTTGGTCTGAATAAGCACATTTAGATAGCTTAATGGTACAAGTGATTACACCATGCTTTTGAGCTTTTATGAGGAAAATTGAAGTATATAATTATACTTTTGCACAAACTGGTTTGACTGTTCTCAAAACAAAACAAAAAGTAAAACCCTGACTCTACTAATTTTTCAAATGGCTGCACCAGCATGTTTAGAAGCAATCAATCAGCAACAATCACATTTCAGATAAACCTCAAGACTAAGATGTCATCAAGGCGAATAGCAGAAAATGATCGGCTCCAGTGGACATACACAAACAAACTTCTTGAACGAAGGCAAAGATCACAGAGCCCCCGACCCATTCCCTGGGGCAAAACAGTGAAAGGATGGATGCTGGTGAGAGCTGGAGAAATACTACAAAAGGAACCAAGCTGTCCCTTCTGGCCTGCCAGGCTGGCACACAAACAGGGGAAGAGAGCAATTGCCAATGGAGCAGAGGCACAAACAAGGACAGAGTATGAAGGACTTGAAAGCGTTCAGTGGCAGGAAGACAGGGAAATAAGGAACTTCCTTATCCTGACAACATCTGAACAGGCCCCAATGCTACAGGGGGAATAAACCCAGCAGTTGTGGTATCTGAGCACCACGGGCTATAAATCCTGCTGATCTCTTTTCTTGACAATTTCCTCTGTAAGGTGGAGGGTAGATGGCCCAGCACTCTCCTTAGTCCTTATCTCATTCCTTCATTTGCTTCCAGCTAGGGAGCAACTGCTGGGATTGCAGAGGTTTATTTATTTATGTATTCATGTTTGTATGTTACAGTTTTTTTATCCAGGTATGAATGAACTCATTTATTTAACAGAAATATATACATGCATACATAGTACCTACTCTGCTATGAGATGAAAGATCTCTTCATTTCTTAACAAGTAAAAGGTATATTTGATTCATGTGGTAGTCTAGACACAAATTTGTATCTATGCATGAGCTATTTGTTTGTTTGTATATTTATCTAGTTGCTTAGTTGTCTATACGCAAATTCATAATTGGTGTTCACTGTCATTACAGTTTTTTGTTTCATTTTCTTAAATCTAATTGCTTGTGTCCACCAAAAAATCCCCTACACTTGTATGAAAAAAATTAAATATGGCCAAGCGCAGTGGCTCACGCCTATAGTCCCAGCACTTTGGGAGGCCAAGGTGGGTGGATCACCTGAGGTCAGGAGTTCAAGACCAGCTTAGCCAACATGGTGAAACCACGTCTCTATTAAAAATACAAAAATTAGCTGAGCGTGGTGGTGTGCACCTGCAGTCCCAGCTACTTGGGAGACTGAGGCAGGAGAATTGCTTGAACCCGGGAGGCGGAGGTTGCAGTGAGCTGAGATCGTGTCACTGCACTGCAGCCTGGCAACAGAGCAAGACCCTGTCTCAAAAAAATAAATAAATAATAAACATATTTCATTTAGTAAATTGACAACAATGCAAGTGAAGTTTTTTTTTTTTTTAATTTCATAGTTTTTGAGGTACATGTAGGTTTTTTGTTAGGTGGATGAATTACATAGCGGTGAATTCTGAGATTTTAATGCACCAGTCACCCAAGTAGTGTACGTTGTATCCAATGTGTAGTATTTTGTCCCTACTCCCCTCCCAGTCTCCCCCTTCTGAATCTTTGAAGTCCATTGTATCACTCTGTATGCCTACTCATAGCTAAGCTCCCACTTACACATGAGAACATACGGTTTTCAGTTTTCCACTCCTGTGTTATGCAAGTGATTTTTAAATAAGCTCATGGGCCACGGCTTTGTTCAGAGAGGTCAATTCAATTACCTTGATGACAAGATTGCATTGTTTAGGTATCTAAGATCAGCGAAAAGAAAAACTGAGCTCATGAGTAAAGTAACACGTAGAACTTGGTAATGCATATTTACAATTCATTATTATTATTCAGGCTTCTATCTTTTCCAAATCATCGATTGATGCTTTAGAAGAGAAAATTAAATTTGATTTACATACTTTATTTCTTAAGACTGTTATTAAGGCATAGGATTGATGAAATGGTTATTTCTTAGAATCTGAATGCAGACGTCTGTAATAATTTTTTAAAATACAACCCGCGATTTTCTTGGCAGGTTTTGAAACCTTGAAATGTGAAAAAGCAGCACACAGGTGAGCAATCAAACAGATGCTTTAGACAGCACATGTCAGTAGTTTGGAGGAAGGAGAGAGCACCAGGGCCAATGAGGGCTCCTTCCTGGAGGAGGAGGCACCTGAGCTGTGCTCAAAGGGTGACTAGGATTTGGATAGTCTAACCAGACAGCATCTGATATGAGCAAAGGCAAGAAATGACATGTTTGTGGGGAGGATCAGAGCTAGCGGGAACATGTAGGAAAAAACAGGAGTTATAATTGCAGAGTGGTTGAAACTGACATGAAAGACCTTGAATGTCAGCCTAAGTAGAGTTCATATATTACGTAGGTGAACAAGGAGTTTCTGAGCAAATGGCATAATCAAAGCTGTGTGGCACCGTATACGAGATAAAGGAGACAATGGATTGATGAGGACTTATTACAGTAGTCTAGGTGTTACAAAAAGAGTGATGAGCAACGTGGCAGAGTGATGGGGTAGAGTTAAGTGAGTAGGATTGCATCAAAAGAAGTTTGATGATCTTGGTGACTGGAGTTATGAGACAGAGAAAGTCATGAATGAGGAAAAAATAACCCAATGTAGCAACAAGAGTGAGGGGAAAGAGGGAGAAGGCAGAAGAATCACAGGTCAATTTCTAGCTAATTACAATGAGAGTGAAGACTAATTCATCACTTCTATTTGAATTAGTCAAGATAGAATAAGGGGCTGGGCATGGTGGCTCACACCTGTAATCCCAGCACTTTGGGAAGCCAGGGCAGGTGAATCACCTGATCTCAGGAGTTTGAGACTAGTCTGGCCAACATGGTGAAACACTGTCTCTACTAAAAATACAAAAATTAGCTGAGCGTGGTGGCAGGTGCCTGTAATCCCAGCTACTCAGGAGGCTGGGGCAGGAGAATCTCTTGAACCTGGGAGGTGGATGTTGCAGTGAGCCAAGATCATGCTGTTGCACTCCTGCCTAGGCAACAAGAGCAAAACTCTGTCTCAAAAAAAAAAAAAAAAAAAAGAGAGAGAGAGAATAAGGTATCCACGGTTACAAATAAACACCCATATTTCAATAGCTTAACACAACCAAGATTTATTATGTGTTCTTGCTATATATCCAGTGCTTATTAGAAAGGAACTCTGTTCCACTGATTCATTCAGGTATCTGGGATAATGGGTATTCCACCATCTTGTGATGCTACCACCTCAACATGGAGCTGCATGAGACGAAGAAAGAGCACATGCAAGTCACATCACTCTTAGGTGCATCTAGTCCATTTGCCAGAACTAGTCACATAGCCCCAGCCCAATTGCAAGAGACGTAATTGGAAAATTAGTAATTTTAAGGAAGCTTATGAACTATATGGTCAATTACACCTGACCTGGGGAAAGAAGAGAAATTAAAAATTTGTTGAGTCATCAGATATGAACTAAGAAAGAAGGAGAAGTTTTGAATTGTTTGAGAGCTTGGCATTTTGACATCACATTGTCCTGGACTTTCTTCCGTCTGGAATAGACAGAGGACTTATCTGAGAGAGAAGCCAATAGTTCTAGGACATGCTCATGCCTTACCAAGGAGCAGGAAGACATGAACCTACCCAGCAAGATTTCTAAACAATTGCCTACAACTTCATTCAGCAATAAATATTTAGGAAGACCTACTATGTGTCAGGCACTGCGGCATGTGAAACTTATCAGTGGTCATATCCATATAGATTTGAATGTATGGCACCAAACCCTGCTACCTGCATAATACACAATAAAAACCACATATTGCTCAATGTAATTTAGTATTCTATCATTCACAATAGAATTACTGTTTTACATAAATGACATTATGCTTCATGATTACTAGAGACTTAAGTGGCTACAATCAACATAACTCACATATTCAATACGCATTTTGTAGTTTATCTCTTCCTGTTGTTAATGTTGTTTTTGTAACTCATATCTCTTATGCTCAGTGTAATCCATACATAGGTATGTGCACACATCTATACATAACCATGTTCTCTGAAAAATAACCTGGAGTCCTACCTCACTCTATAAAGATTTCTGGGAGCTCCTGTTCACACACAATGCCCTCTGTTCCAGGAATGTTGGTTCTTATGGTTCTTCATATTTACTGAGCTTATTTTCTTCTGTCCAATTTCCACCTCACTCCTGAGGCTGTTGGGTAGCACCTAGCTGTTTCCCACCCATTAATTTTTTTTTTTTGAGACAGAGTCATACTCTGTTATCCAGGCTGGAGTCCAGTGATGCGATCTTGGCTCACTGTAACCTTCGACTCCCAGGTTGAAGTGGTTCTCCTGCCTCAGCCTCTCCAGTATCTGGGATTACAGGCACCCACCTGTATTTTTGTATTTTTGTATTTTTTTAGTAGAGATGGGGTTTCACCATGTTGGCCAGGATGGTCTTGATCTCCTGACCTGGTGATCCACCCACCTCAGCCTCCCAAAGTGCTGGAATTGACAGGCATGAGCCACCGCACCCAGCCCACCCATTTACTTTTATTCACTTATCTATTACTCAACCAGTCAGTTAACAAATATTTCCACAAGCTATGGACCACAAAACTGGATCCAGAGGCATGTGCAAGGCTGACTCTTCACTCACAAGAGCACCATTGTTCAGTACCACCCAGGAGAGTGTCATTCTGTGTCCTGGATGCCATGGCCTGAATGCTGGCATCCCCCCAAAATTCCTATGCTGAAACCCAACTCCCAAGGTGATGACATTAAGAGGTGGGGTCTTTGGGGAGTGATTAGGTCATGAGGGCTCTGCCTACATGCATGGCATCAGTACCCTTATAAAAGAGGCCTGAGGGAGCCTATTTGTCTCTTCCACCATGTGAGCACACATAGAAGGCACCCTCTATGAGGACTGGGCCATCGCCAGACACTGAATCTGCCAGCACCTTGATTTTGAACTTCTCAGCCTCCAGAACTGTGATCACTACATTTCTGTTGTTTATAAATTTCCCAGCCTAGAGTATTTTTTAATAGCAGCCCAAACACACCAAGACACTGGATATCAATGGGTTTGAAGCAATCGATGATCCAATCACTGAAAAACTGTACTGGAAAATCTGACATCTATAGCAATAACTCCATGCTATAAAGAGAGAGAAGACAATAAATTGAATAAATTGTGGATTTTTAATTGCTGGACTCTAAGCCTTAGGAGACAAAGATTTAAATCACAGTTTTTTCAGCCTTAGGAGAAAAGTGTAAAAGAAGGCAGCTGGTCTTGTGCTTGGGGAAAGAAAAGGAGAAAAAAAAAAATCTGGCATTGTGAAAACACTTATACAAGGTAAAGCAGTCTCTTAATCCTGAGGCTGGAACTCAAAAATAAACAGATAAAACATCGAGCAATACCTCAACACTCTCGTAATTCCTGTTAATAGGCTTATAATAAATCCATCTGGGCCAGCCCAAAAATTATTCTTCCAGTAAGAGTGGAGCAGAGCAGCACATGGAAATAAGCATGCTTTCTTCTGATACCTCAGTCTTCACATCACTCTGAAACAACTCATGGATTAACCTTCAAGTCCCACCTGTAAAAGTGGTGTGATTTCCACAGTAACAAGTGGTAAAACAACCCACCTTTACAAAAACAACAACCACCGCCAAAAACAAAACCACCATTTGATCTCTTAAAAATCTGATCTTAAGAGACTTAAAGCAAGAACAATGCTGAGAGGCTACTTGTACTCAAGTGGAAACTGTCAGTAACAGACCCTTATTTGTTTTCATGGGACATGGAGGTGAGACACCACAAAAGCAAAGGTCAGAAAGCTTGGAGTTTCGTGGTTCCAAAAGCCAGCTCAGCCTGTATCACAGTTTGGTCACTACACTGTGAACTGTGAATTACATTTGGACATGTAGAAGCTGAGTCAGAAATATTTTAAATCACAAGTTCTGGCTGCTTATTGGAAATATTGCTAAAGAAATAGACATGTGGAAGCTGGGTCAGAAATATTTTAAGTCACAAGTTCTGGCTGCTTATTGGAAATATTGCTAAAGAAGTTACAGTCATCTGCTCACGCAGCCACACCAAAATACTGTAGACTGTGTGGCTTAAGAGAAACTTATTTTTCACTGTTCTGGAGGCTGAAAATATAAGATCAAGGTTGTGGCTGATTTCGTTTCTGGTGAAGGCTCTCTTCAGGGCTTGCGAATGGCTACCTTCTTACTGAGTTCTCATATGGCGGAGAGAGAGAGAGAGAAATAACTCTTTCTATTCCTCTTCTTACAAGACCACCAATCCTATCAGAGTAGGGCCCCACCCTTATAACCACATTTAACCTTCACTACCTCCTAAAAGCCCTATCTCCAAATACAGCCAAAAATACAGTTGAGGCTAGGGCTTCAATCTATTAATTTGAGTTGGAGGGACACATATCAAGATCAACTACTCATGGTTATTTGAGCCCTGCATGTTTAATTATATTTGCAGAGAGCACTGTTGTAAAATACAGAAAATTATGATAATGAGTGATATATTACTTGAAATATCTTAGAATCTTAGCAAGTCCTTTTTAATATGAATTGTGGAGGGGTCAGTCACTTGGGTCTATTTCAGAGATCAATTTTTAAAGAAATGCTCTAAATAAGATTCTTTGGTAACAAAGTAAAATGTTACCTGACTTCTCATCCCTAGTATCTCAATTTTTTCCTAGGGCAAAATCTTTTTCCCTTGAAGACTGGAAATATTATCCATGTTCTCCTGAATATTTTCAATGAATTCTGTCCTGTCAGCTCTAGCTTTTCAAGGGTCTACTCTCCTTATCAACAGGTAGACTGGGTTTTACAAACGTTTTTTACCATAACTTAATTTCCTGTTTCAAATGTGAAATGGATCAAAAATGAGAAGAGTAATGACATAGTGAAATTGATAGGACTTATTTCAGAATGTCATTTAGAGACTCTGGGAACTATTCTTTTCTCACCATGAGGCCGCTTGATGTTAATGTGAATAATGGGAGCAATTTAAGCATTCCAAATCGTTGTTAATTTAAAGAGAAACGTTCTCATCTTAACACATTTGAAAAGAGAAAAACACATAAAATATAATCGATTTGGAGTATAATTTTTTGTTCAATTATTATTGCAAACATATGTGTATAAATCAGTTCTTCACCACCCTCCACAATTCCTCTTGGTGCATTCCTCAAAATAACAATATCTGGGGTTTTTGTTTGCTTTGTTTTTCCTTTTGTTTTTGTCTCAAGCTCACACGTGTTGTTATAAACATTTTTACTTTGAAAGAAAGAAAACATCCTCTGAGAAATATTTCTGTCCTTGACAAATAAGAAAAGGGATTCAGTAAAATGCCAACAGTAAAAAATCTGTAAGTTTTCTTAAAAAGATTTATTATAGTGTCTTCTGTAACAGGAAGGCCCCTTTTAAAGAGATTACTGCTTAATCCATGGTAAGAATTATTATTTTGTAATTAATCAGTAAACCCTTCAATGTTTTGCGAGGTGGCAATTTTATAGATCTCCTTTTCAATCAAACAACTCGGAAGTAACTGTCAGTTCTTTTAAACACACAAAGCAAGATCATATGTTCCACATCTCTAATTTTGATGTTTATAAATATCTTGAATCAGGATAAAGATCCATGACTAACTCATATCCCCAGAGTGTAGTCTTGGTTACAATAATAGTATATACTCATCTCCACTTAAATATTTCATTATAGATGACATGAAGTTAAAAATATATCAAATGCAAAAGGATGGTGAAAAAATTCAGAAGGGTAACTATGCAAGTCTGAAACTGGTGAGAAGTCGTTGAAGAAGATGAAGGTTATCTGTGAGACTACTGTAGATGCATGAAGTCTTTCTACTTTCCTTGGAAATAGATAGGTTCTTCTACCAGCATTGCAGAGCTCCCAAAATTCAAGGCAATGCTCCAATTTGCCATTTCCTAGGTCTTGTTCTAGCCAAGCCAAAAAATAAAATAAAAATGTGTCTACAACATGAATTAAGATTTAGGAATTTGGCCGGGCACGGTTATTCACACCTGTAATCCCAGCACTTTGGGAGGCCGAGGTGGCAGATCGCCTCAGGTCTGGAGTTCAAGACAGCCTGGCCAACATAGCAGAAACCCTGTCTCTACTAAAAATACAAAAAAATAACCAGGCTTGGTGGCTCAAGCCTGTAATCCCAGCACTTTGGGAGGCTGAGGCAGGTGGATCATGAGGTCAACAGATCGAGACCATCCTGGTCAACATGGTGAAACCCCGTCTCTACTAAAAATACAAAACATTAGCTGGGCATGGTGACGGACGCCTGTAATCCCAGCTACTCAGGAGGTTGAGGCAGGAGAATTGCCTGAACCCAGGACGCAGAGGTTGCTGTGAGCAGAGATGGCGCCATTGCACTCCAGCCTGGGTAACAAGAGTGAAACTCCATCTCAAAAAAAAAAAAAAAAATAGCCATGAATGGTGGCTGGCACCTGTAATCCTGGCTACTCAGGAGGCTGAGGCCGGGATAATTGCTTGAACCCAAGAGGTGGAGATTGCAGTGAGCCGACCTCGTGACACTGTGCTATAGCCTGGGCGACAGGGTGAGATTCTGTCTCAAAAAAAGGTTTAGGAAGCTGGGGACGGTGACTCACGCCTGTAATCCCAGCAGTTTGGGAGGCCGAGGCAGGTGGACCATGAGCTCAGGAGATCAAGACCATCCTGGCCAACATGGTGAAACCCCATCTCTACAAAAATACAAAAATTAGTTGGGTGTGGTGGCTCATGCCTGTAATCCCAGCTACTCAGGAGGTTGAGGCAGGAGAATCGCTTGAACCCAAGAGGTAGAGTTTGCAGTGAGCTGAGATTGTGTCACTGCATTCCAGCTTGGTGACAGAGCAAGACTCCTCCAAAAAAAAAAAAAAAAAGATTTAGGAATAACAAATTATATAGTAAAATAGAATTGTTGAAATTCTATGGATAAATGAAATCAACAGGGTATCACCAATTATCAGCTGAGTTCCAAGTTGATTGCTTGGAAACATATTCCCACAGAGATAACAGTATATGTGGAATTTAGGTTTCAACCCACAAAATATATACGTTGTGTTAGTAACAGATAGGAGAGCCTAATCAGCACATGTGCCATTGTTTCATGGGAAAACAAGTTTCATGTTTCAGTTCCCAGATGCTTCATGAGCACCTCTTTCCACAGCTCACTTTTTAATGAGAGTAAACTCTTCATTTTCTCCAACCTCAGAGAAAATCAGAATCCTAAGACATCATTAAAACAGGATCCCAAATCTCCATAGCAGAGGAGAGGTTAGACATTGGCGGGGTTTAAAGATCAGGTTTTCAATGCATGGCACGTAACTGTCCATTTTCAGGCTCCAAAAATGAATGGCTTTCCAGGAGGCATACTGTTTATCTCACCTTTACAACTTTCAATTGCCGTGAGTGCA